TTGGCAAATGCGCTGATGTGTGCGGCGGGTAATCCAATTATTTGTTAGTTTGAGTTACAAGCCGTAAAACTGGCTTAGTTAGTTTTTTTAGTAATCCAGTACTAATGTAGTAACAGCACAATTTAGTGTATATTTTTGAAAGCACTGTATTTGCATATATTCTTTTCCCAAGAGAGTAGTAGTTTTTTCTTATTCACTTTTCGCTTCAGCGCTTTTGAAGCAGTTTTTTTTAACAAATTTCTTCATTCACTCAAATATTTGCAGTATTTCAGAATTTGCTTCGGCACACTAAGCGCACTCCAAACACAAGTGAAGCACTTGTTATTTATGTATTTCGCAAAATTGGAAATATATTTTGATTTTTGTTTTTATTCTGCTTTTGTTGAGCACAAACGTTTACAGCTGTTAAATTAGCTTAAGAGTGCACATATATTTAAGAAAAGTATTTAGATAGCTACGTTCCGAGTCTCTTTTCAAACACGTCCGAAGGCAAAGGAAGCCAAACACGAACTAAAATTTCTTTGGCACACAACTAACTTAGGTACTTGGTAAGCGAGCATTGAATCGATGCGCTACTAGAGCGCGTTAAATGTACGCTCACTGAGAGTCCGCGCTCCATTCAGTTCTGCAGTGAGCTGACATGCCGCTCAAAACCTGTAAAGAGCGCGCGTTTGCATGCCGCCATGGGAGTAAGCGAGTCCATTTAGATGCGTGTAAGTAAGAAAGCTATAGAGTAATTTTCAAATATGGCGTACTTTTTGTCCAATCAAATCGCATGCGCCATAAAAATGTGTGCGCTTTGATCTTTTGTAGGCGCGCGAAGGCAGCGGCGTGGACAGCCCAACTCTCCATATATGTGGCGCTGCTAATTGTGGCAGCTAGCTGTCAAGCGGTTGTTAACAGATGAATGAATGGATGGTTCGTCGCCTTTTTGTTAGTTGCGCGCGGGGGAAAGAGAGAAAAGTAGGCAAGAGCGCGCACAAGAAAAGTAACAGGTTTTTCTCAACGCGCTCGCTCCCATTGCTATAACGCTCCGCATACTTGCACACACTTACGCTCTGCTCTTGCTTAATTTATTTTACTTGCTCACAATTTTTAGCCAATCACTGTAGCTTATTGGGTGCGCAGCACAATGGCAACACTTGAAAATGGGGTTACCTTTCGGGAAATGTGTAGTGAATGCGGCTTGTTGAGCGCGTTGTAGAGCGCTAGGGACAGTTGAGCGCTGTGCTCTTTGCATTATTTATTTAACATTGTCATCAAACATTAATTTAGGGGCTCTCCTAAACTTTACTAGGTAAGCAATGCGCGAGGCGAGTGAGCGCGCTCCTTCCTGTTTCTACTACGCCATATACCTACATATGTATTCTGCCTTTTCTGTATTCTGCGCTCTCCACTCCTTTGGCGGCGCTCTTGTCGGCGGCAATCATTGCGTTTGGTTAAGTGACCAAAAGGTTGCAATTAAACTGTCACGTTTATCACGCCTTTCAGCGCAACAACAACAACAACTGCAGCAAAAACAACTAACAGTAGCTGCAACGAAAGCAACAAGGAGGCACACAAACGAGGCTATAATTTTCATTTTTATTTTTATTGAGCGCGTTGTTGGCATTTCAAGTTGAACTGCACTCTAGCGCAGCTATGCCGCACGTTGCCGCGCCGCCACACCGCTTGCTAAATTGTCGATGGCACTACTCAGCTGCTAAATGGTTGCATTCGCTTGTAAATCGCTCACATTTCTGGCTCTTTAGTGGCATTAAAAAGTTGGTTAGCACGTCGCGTTACATGCGTTCATGCATATCTATGATACGTGCATGTGTAACTACTTACTTACAGCGTTTGTGTATACGAATAGAAGCGTATAAAATTTATTCTCGCGTAAAATTTTTACACTTCAATTTAGCGCGTTTTTTGTGTAGCATCAGGACCTTCACTATGTAGTTCACTTTATTGTTTTTTTCTGCTTTTTTGTTTGTAATTTTAGCAGTTAAGTGAAAAGTAGCGTTTGCTAACTTCTTCGTGTGCGTACTCAACACGCAACTACCGCCGCACCTGCTTGCAGCACGTAATAGGTTGAGCATGTTTTGCCGTCGGAGTTTTCAGTTTCTATCTCACACAACTTTTATGCGCCACCTTAAAAATATGTTTTTAAATGTTAAAAGAGAATGGTGCACTACTGGAATATAATAGCAGAATCACAATTTCGCGATCGGTCGGTCGCCAATTACGATTCTGCTATATTTCAGAAAATCAATGTAACAATTTTAATGAGATTAGTACAGCTAATTCCAATTTACCAAGTCAAATTAATTTCTTAAACTTATGCCTCTTATAAGCCAGAAACTAGCGGAATTAACTTATGGATCACAAAGATCTTTTCTTAAACCTTGGCGTACCAATTCTATCTGCTAGCTTTTTGTATGGAGTTTTTTTTTATTTAGTGCTTATTTCCTTTTAAAGGCAATAATAAGATCAGCATCGAATTTGAAGAACTTGGCTTTTCCATTGTATTTATAGGCGCTCTTGCTTTCATAGTCTACCCAAATATGCTGAGTCTAAGATCCTTTTAACCATTCCATCAGCTTGATGAAATCCTTCCAAGTTTATAAGGAGATGAAAGTTGTGCTCGCCGGCATTCTGAGCAATTAAGCAGGTTTACACCTGTCGTCCTAGAGCCATGTTCTTTTCGAGCTATGATTATGAGTAGTATTTGTCGATTTGATTAACTCGAGTTCATTCCAGGATTCGATGCACCATGAAAATTGTTTCTATGTCTTTCGCACAGTATATAAGATGGATGTATTACGAAGGTTTCTTGCGTGATAATTGATACTAAGAAATGATCTCTCTTTTTATGGAATGGACAGAGTAAAATTTAAAATAGGTTCCATTCTTGGGGGATTCAATTATAATTAACAGGTTTAATTATTATTCATGGCCGCTGTGGTGTAGTGGTAAGCAGTGCGCGCTTCCACTCGGCAACGCCTGGGTTCAAACCCTGGTCAAAGCAACATCGCAAAAAATATAGAAAAAAAAGGTTTTTTCTTAACAGCGGTCGTCCCTCGGCAGGCAATGGCAAACCTCCGAGTGAATTTCTGCCATGAAAAACAGCTTCTCATACAAATACAATCGCCGTTCGGAGTCGGCGTAAAACTGTAGGTCCCTCCGCTTTGTGTGACAACATCAAGGCGCTCACCACAAATCGGAGGAGAAGCTCGGCCAAACACTAACTTATGTGTAAGCGCCAATCTATATTAATTAAAAACGTTTATGCGGAATTAAATTTTCAAGAAATTGATTGAGTGTCTTTTAGATTACAGCGATTATTATTTTCGGCCAGTGGCTCTGAACCTTTTTTACAGCAGTTAGGGACGATTGCATTGAACTGTAATGAATATATTGGCGAGCAAATGTAAAAATTTGGCGGAAATCGCTTATTTAATGCTAACATACAACATAACTGATATTAACCGATATTTGTTAAATTGTCATTATTTATAGTCTAACGAATTTTATGGAGATATCGTAATTCATCGAGTTTTTTCAGCGTATCGAGTTATCGACATTTATTGATTTACTGAAACTTGTCGATTTATCGAATCGAAGTTCTTGGAATTTTCAAAAAACATAAACTTTTCGAAATTTCAAGGTTATATGACTTTATCGAGTTATGACTGCTTATTGAATTTTATCGTGTTACTCGAGTGTAACGAGTTATCAAAATTTGTCAATAGCTTTCGAAAAATATTGAACTGTCTACTTCAGCCGATTTATCAAAATTTATTGATCTATCCAAACTTTATCGAGCTAGCGAATTGTATCGACATATATACATTTTTGAGTTACCGAAATTTATCGAGCCCTATAAACGCACTGTTATCGAAAATTATCGAAATTAGTCGTGTTCTTTAATTGAGTTACCGGATTTTAGTGCTTTTGAAATTCATTGGATTATTGGTGTTATCAAATTACCGAAATTTATCGACAAACAGGAACACATTGAGTCAATTCCAAGTTCCGTAAAAGACCTTCAGAGTTATAAAAAATTTTGGTTACGTTTTAGTTCCAAAACAGGACATTTTTCGTTAAGCACCTCATACGTTAAGTTAGAAAACTTCTCCAATGGTCTTAAAAACATAAACTAGTAATTTTGTTCGCTTGCTTCGCGGCGCTTAATAAGAACTTTTGCGTGGGTCAATGCGAAAAGAGCGTTTAAAAGAAAAAACGGTATGTAAAGTAAAAAAATTTAAACGTCTAAAGGGCAGAATCCTCCTCATAAATAAGCTTTGCCGATGGTCTTATTTCCACCTGTGAAATCTCTGCCAAGCGTGCATAATCTTTTTTGATCTTGCAACTACAACATAGGTACGATGCGTAAGCTAATAAAAGTCCTTATAAGGAAACCTAAGATCGCCTCGCTACCCAACAGGATGAAGTATTTTTCCGTACTTCGGCCAAATGAGTCGTGTGATATCTTGAATATCGTTTAAATGAAGCCATTGATGTACCCAGCGTGTTCTGTCTTGGACGGATGTGGTCGAATCTTTCCTTGTCAATTCGCCACTTTAACAATTCGTCTTAACACTTATGAACTGGTTTCACACGCCACCAATCGGAGGAGAAGCTCGGCCAACCACTAACATTTGTGTAAGCACCTTGGACCGAACCTGCACAAGTTGAGTATTAGCCATAAATTTGTATTATGCGAAATTTCATTAATAAATCTATAAATGAATGGGTAGTAAAAAAATATGGTTGTTAATTTGTAACATTGTCGAAACATGCCAACATACATATGTATGTACGTATGTAGATATGCTTAATAAATAATGTAATTACATAAAGACATACATATGTAGTATGTATTTAAATATGAATATGTCTTCAATTACACAACACTCTCAATTATGGACAATGGCGAATGAGCCGAGTGGGAACTGAGAGGATAAGAAACAGCGAGTGTGGAAACGCTTTCCTGATGACTTTGTTGGTTGGTTCACTTCAATAGCACCGCTGGAGGCAGCTGACGGCTGGTTGTAATATTTATGCAATTTCAAAGACGCAACGAACAAGGGTACCCACCCGTAGTGTGGCGGTGCAGTGGAGCAAAAAGAGCAACAACAGTAAAAACTCAAAGAATACTCGTAAATTATATGAAAATTGGTAGCACGAAAGGAAGAAACTCATAAAATTAACCACATTTTTCTTCATTTTTATAGCATTTATTATCACATTGCCCCAATGGAGAAAGGCGGCGCGGCTGCAAGAGCAACAGAGACAGGGAAGCGAGAGAGAGTATTTATGTGAGGGCCATAAAAATGCAGTCTTCTCCGTTGGAGTTGGTCGGCGCGGCATATTTGCCTTGGCTTTTGATTTATGCACAGCCCAACTGCGGCGGTGGCAGCAACAGCAGTAGCGGCAGCAATGCCGTGGCAAGTGAGGCAAAATAATGCAATAAATTTGACATTATCGCGAGCAGCCATAAGATATGGCGGAATTGGTAATGGCGCACGGCCAAGGCGCAGGCGTGGAAAGGTGAAAATCTGCGTCCTCAGCACTTAAAAACATATGCATGTATGCATATATGTACATACAAAGCTATTCAAGTGCGCTGCTGATGCGGTAATGGCATGCGCGTAGGTCGTAAAAATGTGAAAATACTACAACAAACGTGATATAAGAAACACATAAAAAAATCAATGCTCAAACGAAGACGTATAAATATTCAAAAGGTTGCGCTACAAAAGAAGTTCAGTGAAAATTTCATTTATGTACATTTTATATGGATATATGTATGTATTCCTATAAAGGCATGCACAAATATAGAGGTTTATATTTATAGGGCAGGAGCGCACATAAAACGAGAAAATGTTCAATATGACGAAAGCAGATAAATACGAAAAACGCTCATAAATGCGGCAAATGGCTAAGACGCGATGAACATCAAAGTACACCTCAAGTATGTAAGTAAGTACCAGGACCTGTTTTAGTACAAAACAATGGCTGAAATACATATGTACGAGTATGTAAAAGCAGACAGTTTCAAGTACTCGGCGGCTCATAAAATGCGAACAGCGTCACTTGCGAGGATAACGTCCAACGTATTTTACGATCTGCTAAGAAGGTGGTCCCCCATAACCGCTGGCTCAAGAACATGCATAAAAAACGATATAAAAAGAGAAATCCAAACAAGTCCATTGCTTATCGTAATTGTTGGGTTATTATTCGCCTGATTTTATGTGGCGAGCAGCATTGGCAATCGCTGGCTATAAGTCTGCGCTATAATCACATAAGTGGCATCTGAAACTAAAAACGTTCGCATTCAACACATTTAGCTGGTTAAAGTGTAAGTTTTATGATTGAGTTGTATTTGGATTATATAATACTTCCTGTCATTCGTTTCGTTTTTTATGGCCTAGGATCAGCATAAAAAGGTTGTTGGATATAAACATACTTTTATGTAATTCTGTACCCATTGGATTTACTCTTCCATACAATTATAGAGGTTAAAGATTTGAGCGCTTTTTAAGCAGTATTATTGGTGCAGTTTTTCGCAAAGTGAAAGTGCAGTTGATTGCGGTAATTGCTTGACAGTTAAAGTTTGAACGTTTTAAATATCTTAATAAAGTATTAAGGAATTCGAAGTAAGAAAGGCTTGCCCGCGAATACCATTGTCGTAAAAATAAGTCCAACTTATAGTCCCCAAAAATGTGAGTTTAAAAACATTATAGTAATAGACAATGGTAAGGCTCTCCGACTTGGCATTTTTAAAAGATATAATATAATCTCAATAAAAGTTTTCAAAAATTATTACAGCAATCTCAGCGTTTGTGGAGAAAATTGGCATATGGAAGAGGCCAGAGGCTTAACTATAGGGCGGCATTGCTGGCAGTTAGGTACAAATCGATAAAGTGGTTACCGAGGTACACCTTTGTAGTTATAAAGTGGGCGGTGCCACAGCAGTCTTATTTTTTGATTGAAGATTATTGTAACTGTAAACTTGAAGTAAATTAGCGTCCTCAGTTATTGAAATATCGGAGTTTTCGTATTTCTGAAATTTACCGTTATACGGGAAGCGGGTGTAATTTTAGTGCGATTTGAATAATTTTCAGCAAATTGCTTTTCCATACCAAGGTTATTAAGTGCACCGAGTTTGGTGGAAATTGATAAATAGGTTACCGAGATACACATTTGTGGTCATAAGTGGGCGGCACCACGCCCATTATCCAAAAATTTATAATATTCTAATTTTCTGCTAAGTGGTTATTACAATCATCGATTTTAAGTGAATTAGCTCCAGTAGTTACTGATTTATCGCAGTTTACGTGTTTCTGTAAATTACCGTTATATTACAGGTGGGCGTGGTTATTGCCCGATTTCAAAGATTTTCATAGATTTCATAGCTAGACCCTACCCAAGTTTCGTACCGAGTTTGGTAAGGATTGGTAAAGCTGCTCCTGTGATACAGCATTTCATCATAAGTGGGCGGGGTCACGCCCTTTTTCCAAAAATTTCATAATAATATTACTTCTTACCACAATTCTACTCCACATACTAATTTTCAACAATTTGCATTTAATATTTATCTACTAAAATATCGCAGTTTTTGCATTTTTCTAAAATTCCGTTATATGGGAAGTGGGCGTGGTTACAGTCCGATTTCGCCCATTTTCAATGCCAACCTACCTTGGATAAAGGGCAACCTACGTACCATATTTCGTTGAGATATCAGACGGAGGACAGACAGACATGGCTTAATCGACTTCTCTTCTCATTCTGATCATTTGTGTATACATTTGTCCATTCGATCTCGATTCGTTTGACACGTTTATGACAAATCTATAAACCGAAATATGTGATCTTTACGAGAGTTTTCAAAGATCTGAAGAAAAGTGCACTCACATAAATAATAGTCGTATTTTTTATACATAAGTATGTGGTGAGTATACCTCTAAATTCCTTCTACAATAGTGAACTTATTAAATTTGCCATCATCTATGTACACCCTCAATACTTTCCAACCGGATTATTGGTTTAGGTTATTGGTTGTTATAATTTCGTTAATTGAAAAAAAAAATAAATAAACTAATTTTTGGTGCCAACATAAACATAAAATAAATTTGTTTACTTCAGTTTTCTTTATTGTTATACGTGAAAGTGTGATATTGGCTATATTTCGAAAATTATTTAACTTCCGTATATTCTGATTTCGCATACGGATTCAGCGGACAATTTTACATTAGCTTTCCTTTAAAAATGTCGCAGGTCGGAAAATGTTTTTTCTGTAAACTTGTGTAAATGATATGAGTTTAGGTGATGTGAGTCAAAGTTAGTTGAGAATAGGTGACTTGAGTTGAGTTGAGGTGAGCAACATAACACGACATAATATATCCTAATTTTCAGGTATATCTTCATCTTTTTACTAATCTTCATCTTCATTTTTATACCCGAGCGCACTTGTGCACAAGGGTATTATAACTTTGTTCACATAACGGTTGTTTGTAACAGGCAAAACGAATCGAGATAGATATAGACAAATGTATACATAAATGATCAGAATGAAAAAATAAATCGATTAAGCGGTGACTGTCTGTCCGTCCGTCCGTCCGTCCGTCCGTCCGTCTGTCCGTCTGTGCACACGATAACTCGAGTAAAAATTGAGATATCTTAACGAAACTTGGTACGTGAACTTCTTTTGGGCGTAGGACGGATGGTATTGAAAATGGGCGAAATCGGACAATAACCACGCCTACCTCCCATATAACGGTAATTTTCAGAAATACGAAAACTGCGATATTTTAGTAACTACTGAAGATTATTCACTCAAAATTGATATTTACAATGAGTTTTAGACGAAAAATAAGAATATTTTAAAATGTTGGCAAATGGGCGTAGCCACGCCCACTTATGGTTACATGTGTATATCTTGGTAACCGCTGCACCAATTTCTTCCAAACTCGGCACAGTTGTTGGCCTTGATACATCATACTAAATGGCCGAAAATTTAAAAAATCGGAAAATAACCACGCCTACCTCCCATATAACGGTAATTTTCTGAAATACGAAAACTGCGATATTTTAGTAACTACTGAAGATAATTCACTCAAAATTGATATTTACAATGAGTTTTAGACGAAAAATAAGAATATTTTAAAATTTTGGAAAATGGGCGTAGCCACGCCCACTTATGGTTTCATGTGTATATCTTGGTAACCGCTGCACAAATTTCTTCCAAACTTGGCACAGTTGTTGGTCCTGGTACAGCATACCAAATGGCCGAAACTTTTTAAAATCGGACAATAACCACGCCCACAATCCATATAACGGTAATTTCGAGAAATACAAAATCTTCGATAAATCAGTAAATATCAAAGCTAATTTATTCAAAATTGATGGTTGCAACAATTCTTTACCAAGAAATACGCTTATGATAAAATTTTGGAAAATGGGCGTGGCACCGCCCACTTGTGATTACATATATGTATCTCGCTAACCGTTCTAGCAGTTTGTACCAAACTCGGTATGATTATTGTGCTTGCCACATAAAAGCAAACCGTTGAAAATTGTTGAAATCGGTCTTAAATTACGGCCGCTTTTCATATAACAATAAATTTCAGAAATGCTTGAAATTTCAATATGTCGAAATTTAGGGACGCTAATTTACTTAAAATGTATACACCCCGGCTTATCATGTAGCGGTAGCTTTCGGCAAGGTGGAAAACATATCTTTAATACTTGCGCCGGGTATTTAATGTTCGGCTCCGTCCGAACTTAGACTTTCTTACTTGTTATCTTTATCCTTAATTTAAGTAAAATTTTTATCCTTAATCCTTATCTTCGTCTTCATTCTTTTCTTCATCTACATTGCCACGTTCATCTTTACCTTTATTTATATTTACCTTCATCATCACCTTTGTCTTTACATATATTTATTTGTATATCCTGTTGCATGTTAGCCTTCATCATTTCCTTCATCGGCTAGAGTTCCTTTAAAGAGCAGAAAACTTTCGGCAACGCTGTTTAAATTACCGAGGATTAACATCTTCTTAGACGAACTTAGAGGTTGCCTAAGCAAACGGTCGAGGAAATTGATTATGGATTCACCCAAAAATTTAGGGAGTATAAGGATGTGTTATAATTCCTAAAGGGCTGTTTGCAGTTCTCAAGAAAAATTACAAGAAACTAGTAAACCCGCGTGGCGCCAAAACCCTAACTTTTAATTAAATTTTGTAAACAGGTGAAACCCTATTCGCATGGTGTCGGTTTTCATGTAACTTCAAAAAATGAAACCTGTGCACATCTACATATGTAGAATCCCAGTTTTTTAATTTGACTTCTAATTTTGGAAATTCGAAATAACGGCACAGATGTGATAACCT